TGAAAGTGGTTGCTTGTCCCCGACCACCTGGAATGGCGCAGACCACGGAGCTCATGTTTGGGGACCCAGTCTCTCTTTTTGGGGCAGTGAGCCCCTTTCCTTGGGAACCCCTGAGGCCAGGCATGGCCACTGTGAATGGTGGGAGGGTGCTCCACCCTGAGGACCCCAGAGGCTCCTGTGGCCCCTTCCTGGGACTGCTGGGGCCTGTGTGTGTCAGCGTTCGCCCAAGGCCCCCTTTCAGCTGGGCTGGATGCCGAGTGCCTTCAGGCCTCATCTTGCTCTCCACCGTCCTGTAGGCAGTGAGGCTATGGCACCTCCCTCCTCGACTGTCTTGCCCTGTTGGTCTTTGTATAAGTGTTTTCCAGCCCGATTGCTGCTGAAGCTTCATTTCTTTTTCTTTTTGAGACAGAGTCTTGCTCTGTTACCCAGGCTGGAGTACAGTGTCACAATCTTGGCTCACTGCAACCTCAGCCTCCCGAGTAGCCGGGATTACAGGCATGTGTCACCACGTCTGTCTAATCTTTGTATTTTTAGTAGAGACGGCGTTTCTCCATGTTGGCCAGGCTGGTCTCGAACTCCTCGACCTCAGGTGATCCGCCCACCTCGGCCTCCCAAAGTGCTGGGATCACAAATGTGAGCCGCCAGCCCGGCCTGAAGCGTCCTTTCTTTGGGTTTCCAGTGTTATGACTGTTGTGGCTGAGCTAGACTTGGGACTTGGTTTCTGGGTGTGCTTTGCCTCTGCTGAGGGCTGAGGTTTCAGAGCCAGCATCACTACCTGGGGAGCAGAGGGCGGAAGGAGGATCCGCCTGCGGACACACAGTGACTGAGGCCAGGGGCAGCTCGGGCCGCGCCAGCGGCAAGGGAAGAGGTCTGAGTAGAAGGCTTCAGATGCTGGGGGGAGGGGTGGGGGCGTCCTGCAGGGTCTTTTCGCAGAGTTGGGGCTCAGCGAGGAGCAAGCGCCTGCCATCGCCCGCTTTGTTTTCTGTGGGACCTGCTAGGACAGTGAGGCCCCTGGCTCACCAGGGCATGGCTCACCCCCTACAGCTGTCCAGGCCTGCGTCCCGGCTGCCCCTGCTGTGGGGCAGGGAAGGGGGCTGGGTGTCGAGGACACAGGCACTTGTAGGCTTCATACACAGATGCCTTTTCTCTGACGTTCCTTAACTCCCATGTGTAGCTATACACAGAATGGGATTTTACATATGCTGGACAGAAATAAGAGAATCAAGCCCCGACCAGAAAGGTTCCAGAACTGCAAAGACCTGTTCGATCTGATCCTCACTTGCGAAGAGAGAGTGTATGACCAGGTGGTGGAAGGTGAGGAGGTGGCTGTGCTGGGCTGGGCCCCAGCAGCTCTCACAGGGTCTGGGGATGCCTGCGGGGCCCCACCCTGACCAGCACAGCCCATCTAGAGCGGCGGGGGCGGGGCCAGACCTGTGTGCAAAACACCCTGGGAGGCAGGCAGGGCCGCTGGTCACTGACCCACCCGTGTGCGGGGCCAGACCTGTGTGCAAAACACCCTGGGAGGCAGGCAGGGCCGCTGGTCACTGACC